TACGTACGTGATCCGGTAGCGGACATGAGATATAAAGTAATTTCTGAAACAAGATTAATCCGGAAATTTCGCAGTGAGATTCATCCAATTTAAGAGTTGCTTTGCCATTTCAGTGAAGCTGGAGGTAAGAAAATTGTGTTTTGTTGTTTCCTACAGCTTACCGAATGGTCTTTGGACAGCCTAGCGAAAAGAGCTACGCCAGCATAAGAAACGCCACCTCGTCTAGTCTCTCGGAATTTACTATGTGCCTTTTTGTCAAAATGAAGGATACAAAGTCGATTAGTCGCCAGTGCCTCTACAGTTATGCGACTGTTGGAGCACTTGATGGGAATGCCTTCTACGTTTGTCTGTTTGGCCCAGGAATTAGGATCGCCATAGCCTCGGGAGAGTAAGTGATATGACAAACACGATAGATAAAGTCTGTACTGGAGTCAAATGGCCCATCCAGCCAAACCGTATCCCGGTTTTCTTAAAATATAGCGACTCGTAGGAGTATTAATACTTCCCCCTGGATTGGATGCTAATGCAATTTCAGCATTTCATTCGGTTTCCCCGACAATGTGCCGTAATACTCCTGGGTGGAGTGAAGCACTGTGAGAATAACGACTGTCACCCAAGAACACAACACAATAACACAATAGAATAGGATAGAAGAGAAGTCCTTTGCTCAACTTCAAAAACATTATATGCCTGTTCCCGCAAAGGGCTAAAGTGCTTCCAGCGGAGTATTATCGAGGCTTCTGATGGTATTTGGCGTTGTTAACAATCACGTTCTCTTGTTTTTGCTCCCAAGCGACTTTAAATAAATAATAAAATGTGTCTAGTGATTAAATCATTGTTAGTGAAAAAATTAAAAGCTATAGCGTTTTGGAGATCGAGTGCATGGGGTCTTTTCGAATGAAATAAATAGCAATGGAATTTAAAAAAGTTAAGTGACATTAAAATATCTTAATTTATCTCCCATTCCAGGAGCTCACACGACATTGTTAACATGCATTCCAATTCTATATGTAGCACTATATGTATATATATACATGCATATATCTTGATGCCACAATTGGACCGCAGTCAGTCAAGAAACGAGAGTTTCTAACATAGTTTTAATTGTTTATGTTAATTTTCTTAGTGAAAAAGACACCAGAAACAAAATTAAAGATACCATGTGGCATCACCTTTGTGTTACCTGGGAAAACACCGAAGGCTTCTGGCAGTTTTATATGGATGGACAACTTCAAAGCAATGGAATAGACCTGAAGAAAAATCATCAGATACCAGCCGGCGGAACAGTTGTCATTGGACAAGATCAAGATAGCGTTGGAGGGGGCTTTGAAAGCAAACAGAGCTTTGGGCCGGGTGAGGTAACAGAAGTCAATCTTTGGAGCAGAGTCCTTTCAGGGGATGAAATTGCAACTCAGAAGGCATACTGTGACATTGCACAAGCAGGCCTTGTTCTCTGGTGGGGACAATTTAAAGGAAACGTTACTGGTGTGAAAATAGTCGAGCCTTAAAAGTGATAGGATTTTCAACACCAGCATCTTGTTTACGACGAACTGTTTATCACAGAAGGAGATCCCAGCTTCCTCGAACAAGGAACACCTAAACACTGATCAATATCTACATACATGTTAAATAGCTTTGACCACTCGTATTGTGGAGTCCAACAATTGTTATTACACAGATGACAGCCCTTTTACCCAGTTCAGTAGAGTGTTTGAAAGATTGCGCCCTTCAATTTATGATTTGATAGCCTTGAAGGTTGCTCTTTAGTCGCTCGTTACTTTTGATGAAACGCCAAATTTCAGGACTGAAGTAGCGAGTATCATTCAGTTATTAGTCACGAAAACGTTTAAG